CCCCCCCCCCCCCCCCCCCCCATCCCCACTGAGAACACTTTACAGGATATGTCTGTGTGATACAGAACACACGGGGAACGTATCAAAACTGGAGCAGAGGGAATCTGGAACAGTTGCCCATAGTAACCAATCAGCTTCTCTCTTCAGTTTGTTCATTTAAGCTTTGAAAATGAAAGAGAGAAGCTGATTGGTTGCCCGGGGCAACTGCTTTTGTCTGCTCCAGTTTTGATAAATCCCCCTAAATAAGTCTGATGGGTATAAAGAGAAATCACGATTAAGAAAGAAACAAAACATGATTACAAAGGAAAACGAATACATGGACTGTCTCTGCACCTCAGTCTCTGTACAGAGGAGCTTACACTCTAATGCCCCCCCCACCCCCCTCACACACACACACTATAATATACATTTATTTAGCTCAGACCTATACCGCAGTGTTGTGCAGAGATCACTGAGCCAGTCACATCAGTCTCTATACAGAGGAGCTTACACTCCAATGTCAGAGTACGGCAAAGCAGACGGGCCCAACGTAATCACCAGCAAAAGTCTGGCCCCCCATGATGCTTTGGTTCGGGGTCATGTGACCTGCAGCCATTCTGCACTGTAGAAGACTCAGCTGATATCAGCGCCCCGCCGCCACAGATTCACATGACCCATGTATGGAATGTGACACGTGACCTATTTACAGATGACCGGTATGATTCTATACTGTGGCGTTCCCCACCCCCCTTCCTGGTCATACACATTGTTGCTCCCATCCATGTCCATACCGAGGTATGGGCATACAAAACCATGGACAGGAGGAAGTGTTAACAGGATACAAGTGCAGTGACATCCCCGCACTTGTATTCCATTGAAAACTACAATACGCCGCAGTGGCTTATGGGACTTGTAGTTTCCCCGTTCGCAGATCCTCCCAATCATGTGAATGGTGGCTTACAGGAGAACACTGCAGGCCTGACCTCCGGATCTGGAATTCACCACCTATAATCCAGGACAAGCATGAAGATGGAGGAGCCCCAAATTGTATCACAGGTCCTCTGTACAACACTGCGGTATACGTCAGAGCTATATACATGTATAATAATAGGGTGTGACTGGTGGTACAATGGTGAGGATATGATAGGTAGATATTCCCTGTATATGAACATCTCCTCATGTCGGCCCTATATCTGCGCCCTCCACCCCGCGCGCCTCAGTGAGTACTACGAGGAGGCCTGGGGGGATAGAAAACCACAGCCTAGGCCCCGCACGGCCCTCACATCGTCCCCGGTTATATCACATCCATCACCCCTCATGTCATCCCGGTAATGGGGCTCCTGGGCTCCCACTCACCAACATGACTGCCGTCGCCATCAGCTCCTCCAGGGCTCCTGTGTCTCCTCACAGTGGAAGATCTCGCGAGATTTGAAGCAGCAAGCAGAAGAGGAACAGTGGTATCGCGAGACTTACGCAAGGATGGCTGAAAATTCGCGAGAAAAGGCCGCGCTCCTATTTCCTAACCTGCTTTTTTTTCCTTTTAGAAAAACTTTAATGAACAGAGACAAAACACACGAGTGAACATTGCGACAAAAAACCTCTAATAATCAGTGATGTGTACCTAACGAGGCCACGTGAACTTACAAAACTTCGTTCTTCATACCCCAGACCCCTGTCCCTCGTTCCTTCATACCCCAGACCCCTGTCCCTCTGTCCTTCATACCTCAGACTCCTGCCCCTCTCCTCCAGACCACTGCCCCTCTGTCCTTCATATCCCAGACCCCTGTCCCTCTGTCCTCCAGACCCCTGTCCCTTTGTCCTTCAGACCCCTGTCCCTCTGTCCTCCAGACCCCTGCCCCTCTGTCCTTCATACCCCAGACCCCTGTCCCTCTGTCCTCCATACCACAGACCCCTGTCCCTCTGTCCTTCATACCTCAGACCCCTGCCCCTCTGTCCTTCATACCTATGTCCTTCATATCCCAGACCCCTGTCCTCCAGACCCCTGCCCCTCTGTCCTTCATACCCCAGACCCCTGTCCCCCAGCCCCCTGCCCCTC